ACAGAATTATTTACTGTTCAATAAAAACAAGTTAAGTGCCTAATTTAACCGACGGGGACTATTTCACAGTAACTTAAATAACAGCATCCAGTCAATCTTGCCAAACTGGTCATTGGTTGGCGCCAATTTGCGCGTGTTTGCGTCGTTGTAGCTGCTTAAGTTGCTTGAGGCAATTCCTCTCGCCTCAATAATTTGGTCCATTCTGCATAGAATCAATATTTTTCAGCTCATTTTTTTAATGTTTCGCCCGACCTATGCTGTTCAGTTGACATGATTCAAATGTGATGGTCCGCCCATTAATATAACGCTATTGCGTAGCACGCTGACTGAAAAAATAGCCAATAGAAACGTTACTTTGGATTTTAAAAGCCTACGGTTTCATACACTCCTGGAGGTGAGTGCACTCGAGTTTCGTAATGCAGTCGCGGAACGGTTTTTTGCCTGACACGTGATACTGTCCTTTCAAAAACGATAAGAACTCAAACGAGGAGCATGAAGCCGGTTGAAAAAAGAATGAGCACCTATATTTTAAGCCTACATTTTTAAGCACTATATGGGACATTTATTAAAAATGCACAATCTCTTAGTGGATTCAGGGCACAAGTCAAGCTACTGAATCGCCTAAGGAGTCTGGGCACTCTTTATATGCAGTTTTCCCCGTTAACTTGTTACGGCAAAGGTTCCACACTACCTAAAATATTTTTCTGCTCTACAAGGCCCTTATCGCAATCCTCCTATGGCACGCAGTATTTCTTCATTTGCAGACTTAATTATGCCCAGCGACCTCTATCACTGTCAAAAGTTAAGTCATCCACTTTGTCATCGCCATGCTACATTATCAGTTGGCCTCGAAGATCGAGTCATTTTTGATGAAAAAAACGTCTTTAGAGTAACGCGGTTGGACCGCGTAGAGGTATCCCCTAGTTTCCCTCAAGCAGTTGGTAGCAGAATATCCATGCAATCCAACAATACACAAATTCTAGTCTATCAAGGATAAAGTTTCCGTCGCTGTTGAGCTGACACTCGTTCATGGTTCGTCCCTCATTTATCCGCTGCCTGTTGATGCAATAGTACTATTTATCGCCACCAGCGGCTAAGCAATAAAGAAGGCCTTGTTTTTACCCACGAGTGCAACACTGGTGCGCCTATGTTTGTTCTTTTCTGACAAAATGCACGGCACCTGCACTCCAAGTATTTTGACTTTCCCACGAACCTTGCCCGATCTAGAATGGAGTATCAGTGCAATTTCCACCCAACTTTGTTGATAATTTTTTTCGGATTCTCATTCCGACGACCGGTTGGTAATTGGGGGGCGGAGAAAGTCTTTAATTTTAAAAATACCAATTGCTATCCCAAGCACTGCGAAATCTCCATACAAAACACAAATGTCAAAAATGACTTCGAGAGCCTTGATACCTCCAAAAGAGGCAAAAAAGAAGCACATGTCGATAACGCCGAATTTTTACCACTAGAGGCTTCAGTATTTACTTGTAAAACTTAGTAAATACAAAATACTACTGGCCAACGGTGAAAAGTAATATTTACCACGATAGCAGGAAAAATGTCATTGCGAGAGAGTCCCAAAAGCGTATTGGGCAACCCAATATTTGAAGCATTTTTTCCCTGGTATGAATTGAAAACAAGCATGTACAGCAAAATTTATTGGGACCAATAAATTTCGTGACGGCTTTTAAACTGCAGCCCGTCTCTG